GATATGATATAATATAATATAATAGCCTTAATTTCATTCATGTTACTATCTGAACATACATGTATGAATGTATACCTTTTGACTTAGTAGTAGCCTTTTGACCAATGGGATTTCAGTATGCATTGAACTAATATAAACTCCTGGATTGGCTTAACTGCCTCTGATGTCACAATTTGCCCATTAGGAAGTCATAAGTTTCTTGAAATCACATTGAGCTAATAACACCTCTCTAATTTTCATTATAAGAAAGGTAAAGTCCCAAGAGTAAAAATACTGGAAGGGGGAAGGCATCGTTCACCCCGGCAGACTTTCTTTATTTACATGCTTTAGTCATCTGCTCTTGACAGCTCAAGTTAGCTCCTTCAACAGCAGATGTTACTTGGTTTTTCATGTCTCTCAGCTCCTGAAGGAATGTACCTACCCGGACTCACCCCTTCAGTGCATAGGTCTGTTTCAACTCGGCTGTGGAGACTTAGCATCTTCCTGCTACTTAGCTTCCCTGACTCCAGAGGAAAAGCGATATGGACAGCTCATCTGAATATAACCTTCCAGGTGGGAAACCGGATCATATCAGAGCTAGGAGAGAGTGGAATGTTTGGGAATCATTCTCCTCTGGAAAGGGTGTCTGGTGCCGTGGTCCTTCCTGAGGGATGGAATCAGAATGCTTGTAATCCCCTGACGAACTTCAGCAGGCCTAATCAGGCCGACTCCTGGCTGGCCCTCATTGAACGGGGAGGCTGCACTTTCACTCATAAAATCAATGTGGCAGCAGAGAAGGGAGCAAATGGAGTGATCATCTATAACTATCCAGGTACAGGCAACAAGGTCTTTCCCATGTCTCACCAGGGAACAGAGAACATAGTTGCAGTGATGATAGGCAACCTCAAAGGCATGGAGATTTTGCACTTGCTCCAGAAAGGTGTCTACGTGACAGTCATCATTGAAGTGGGAAGAATGCATATGCCATGGCTGAGCCACTATGTTATGCCTCTGTTTGCCTTCCTGGCAGCCACAGTTGCCTACCTTTTCCTGTACTGTGCCTGGAGACCCCAAGCGCCCAATTCTTCTACGAGGAGGCAAAGACAAATAAAGGCCGATGTGAAAAAAGCCATTGGTCAGCTGCAACTTCGAGTGCTCCAGGAAGGGGATAAGGAGCTGGACCCAAATGAAGACAGCTGTGTCGTTTGTTTTGATATATACAAAGCCCAAGATGTAATACGTATTTTAACTTGCAAGCATTTTTTCCACAAGACGTGCATTGACCCCTGGCTCTTAGCCCACAGGACATGCCCCATGTGCAAGTGTGACATTCTGAAACCTTAAGAAGCCCAGAGACCTTTCTACAGATTAAAATTAGGTGAATCCGCTCATTGTATCATACACACGGAGAAAACTTGACCCTTAGTTCCTCTATTCAGCCACTAAAGGTGAAATTTCTGTGCTTTGAAAATAAAACTTGGTATCATGCCCGCAAACTGTTGTCTTCTTAATCAGTTTGTTAGACTTTGTTGTCGTTCTCCAAATGAGGAAGTTGGTCCATGTTAAAAACAATACTCATCCTAATCATCAGAATAATATGATTAAGGTACTACGCAGTGGGGAGTTTCTGGGCTGTTAAGATTTTAACATATTTATTTGGGGGCTTTGTTTTAAAACTTTGTCTAGTTTTTCTTTTATTTTTTTAATTCCTAAAAGTGTATATCTTTTAATAAACTTCACTATAGAATGAGATTTTGATTTAAATTGCTGTATTAGTAGCTGTGAGTATGGCTAGGGCTTTTGACAACAGAGCAGAGCTAAACATTTTGTTCAGTTATCATTCCAATAATATATTGGAATTCTCATTTCTTACCCTTATTTCTCGTGGGTGAATAAACACCCATGTGTTACTGAAAAGCTGAAAGCCAAGCATTTGTGGTTTTAGTGAAAATCTCAGGTTTGGGTATTCAATGTAGATGGCGTGTGTTGAATCTGCAGAAGTCTACCCATTATCACTACACCTTTCCCATGGAGCTGTGTAAATGAAGTCAGTAATGGCTTCTATAAAAGAAAATTAACCACTGTGGACGGGAAGTTCCACACTAACATTCTTTCTAAATTTTTGCTACTCTTTTTGAACATTTTAATTAATTTTGTTAATTTGACAATTTTGTCCATATATACAGTATATTGATTAATCTTTCTCCAACACCCTTATTTCCTTCTCATTCTATAAATGTCTACCCCTCATCTCTACTAGTCCCTTTTGGGCTGTGACCTATTCAGCTTAACCGGGGTTATCTGGGTGACTGCTGGGTAAGAAGCACCCGGTGGAGTCTGGTACATTCATCAGTGGATTTACGACTGAAGGCAAAGGTAACCCGTCCACTTGAATCCATCAGTAAGTAGTTCTGCAGTGAAGGGTAGAATTCCTGAGCCTGTCCTCCAACTGTGCCTTACTGTTGATCTGACCATTCCTTTGCACACCCAGCGCCGATACCCACAACTTCTGTGGGTTCATAATCCCAGTGGTGTCTTGCCCAGGAGATAGTGTTGTGAAACACTTTGTCTTCCGGATTGTTTCTGCCCTCTCTTCCACATTGTGTCCTAAGCCTTAGCAGGATGAGCAGAAAATGTCTTGAGGTTTCAACACTCTGTGTAGCCAGGAGGCTCAGTGTTCGCCTTGTTTACTAAAGAGAGGCTTCTCTGGTTGAGACAGTAGTGGATGTGTGTGGATATAAGCAATAGTTAGATGAGAGCTTGACCCTCTGACCTGGCTAAAACAGCAGTGCAGCATTCAGCTCCTTCCCGAGGGCCTGTGAGCTCCCTAGCTACGAGTCTTCCTCCAGGTTTTTAGTACCAGACACAGCTTCCCTCCACCGTAGTGGGTGTCAAATCCAGCCCAGCTGTCGCTCCTCAACAGCAGTGCTCCTATTGCAAGAGTCCCTACATCTTGCCTGGCAGGTTGGCTTTGCAGCTCACAGGGTTCACTGCTGGAAAAGAGCATTGCTGGCCCTTGTCTTTCAGCAGAAAGCTAGCTGCAAGGGAAGGGAGGGGAGTCTAGCTCAATTCCAGCTTGATTTCTATGTACATGAATCCAAGGTGTTTGCTGTCTTCAGCAATAAGCCTTTTTATCACCTACTTCTAGCAGGCAACCAAGAGGGAAGGCAAGAACCTATATTGCTTCTGGGGGCTCCCTGACTAATGGTCTTTGTTCTGCGAGTAGTTGTTGCTTCATAAACTACAAAAAGTACCAGCTTTCTTAGTCCTGGTGAGTCCAGTTTTAAATGGTTTGCTTTTGAACCCTGCACATAGAGGCCAAAAATGTTTATGTTCAAGGTATAAGTCCTCAGCTTGTTAAGTTTTGTTAAAGTAATTCGTTCGCATCATCTTTTTATGACCTGTAACCATTGTTGTTGTCATTGGTTAAATTTTTAATCTTACAGGGTTTTTTAATTTTTTAAAATCAAGTTACATTTGCGAGCAGGAGGTATGTCTTTTATATGTATTCCTGCCGTCTGCATGTGCTGCTGGGCAGTCTAGGTAAAGCTGTCCAGAGACAGGAGACTTAGTTGGATCCTGAACTTTACAGTGGTTGTCAGCCTTCCTGATGCCATGATCCTTCAATACAGTTCACGTTGTGGTGACCCACAGCCATGAACTTGCCTTCACTTCTATTTGTAACATTATATAATAAAATTAAAATTATATAATCATAATTAATTTTTGGAGATAGTTTGCCAAAGGGGTTGCAATCCACAGGTTGAGAATCACTGCTTTAAAAGATCAAAACCAATAAATGTTTCAGAAATTCTATATAATTTACTTATTTGCATCTTCATTGGAAGCAGCAGAAGACAGGGAACAGGACAGGAGCCTACTACAGAGGGTCTCTGAAAGACTCTACTGACCGAGGTATCAAAGTAGAGGCTGAGACTCATAGCCAAACTTCGGGCAGAGTGCAGGGAATCTTATGAAAGAAAGGGGAGATAGACCTGAAGAGGACAGGAGCTCCACAAGGAGAGTAACAGAGCCATAAAAACTGATCCCTGAGGACCCTGAAGAGAATGATACCCCAGAAGTACAGTACATGGAGAGGACCTAAAACCCCGGCTCAGACGTAGCCCATGACAGAACTCAGTATCAGGCTCTCTGATCACCTCCGCCTGGGAGTTGCCTTGCTGGTCCACAGAGGAAGCCAGCCTTTATGAGACCTCATAAGCTAAGGTCAAATAGAAGGGGGAGGAGGAACTCCCCTATCAGTGGGCTAGGGGAGGGGCATGGGAGGAGGAGAGGGAGGGAGGGTGAATTTGCGGGGAGACAAGAAAAGGGGTCACAGCTGGAATACAAAGTGAATAAATTGTAATAAATGATCATACTAATAAAAAAAGAAAAAATTTAAAAATTGACAGTGACCACATAGGTAAAGTTAGTGTGACAGATCTCACATTCCTAGTTTATGATTCTTTGTTGATTTCAAACTTAATTTTGTCCGAAATATTGTTTTAGGAGAGTGACAGTTTCACAGTATTCTCATGTTTGCGGTGAGACTTTTAGAAAGCATCAAGTACAGAAATGCTTGTTTCCTTGTTTTAGTTTTCCGTGCTACCTACAATGTGTACATGGCTCCATGATTGGACCGTTTTATAAGCACACCCGAACTACTCATAACCACATTGGAAACATTTGAGCCAGTACAGTTGCAGCATGCTCTGAGCTCTCACCTCATTGGCTGCTTGGCCTTTTATGTCACAATCACCTCATGCAACAGGAAGCAGTAGCTAAAGTTACAGTGAGGTGAGACAGGGCTTCTTTACTATCTAAAGTTTTTCTCTCTAATAGAACATCTGACACTCAAGAAACCTTTAGGACTCTCTTGCTGAAACATGCTGGAAGACTGCAGATCTTGCTTTCACCCGGAAGATATTCTTTCCTTCCTCATTTTGAATTGATTGTCAACAGATGTGGCAGCTGGGCCCCTTGGTTGGGTTGGCTCGTAAAGTCATACGTGAAAGACGGAGATGAATCTTCTTCAGACTGGCGCTCGGCAAAACAAAGCTGCATCTTTCTGGCTGCTGAAGTTCGGTTTCATCTGGCTCGTTAGTCAGAACTGTTGTACAGCAAGTGCAGTTTGGACTGCCTACATGAACATATCATTTCATGTCGGGAACCGCATGCTGTCAGAGCTTGGGGAGACCGGGGTCTTTGGAAGAAGCTCCATTTTGAAGAGAGTGGCAGGAGTTGTTGTGCCACCAGAGGGAAAAACTCAAAATGCTTGTGATCCCAATACCAGTTTCATCCTGCCAGTTAACCAGGAGCCATGGATTGCACTCATTGAACGGGGAGGTTGTGCTTTCACACAGAAAATTAAGGTGGCATCTGAGAACGGAGCCAGGGGAGTGATAATCTATAACTTCCCAGGTACTGGCAATCAGGTTTTCCCCATGTCTCACCAGGCATTTGAAGACACTGTCGTAGTTATGATCGGTAACTTAAAGGGCATGGAAATTTTACATTTAATTCGGAAGGGAGTTCATGTTACAGTCATGGTTGAGGTAGGGAGAAAACATATCATCTGGCTGAATCACTATTTTGTCTCCTTTATGATTGTCACAACCGCTACGTTAGCATATTTCATCTTTTACCATATTCGGAGACTTTGGGTTGCAAGAATTGAGAACAGGAGGTGGAAACGATTAACAAGAGAGATCAAGAAAGCTTTTGGCCAGCTGCAGGTGAGAGTGTTGAAAGAGGGCGACGAGGAAGTAAATCCAAATGCAGATAGCTGCGTCATCTGCTTTGAACCCTATAAACCTAATGATATAGTTCGTATTCTCACTTGCAATCATTTTTTCCACAAGAATTGCATTGACCCCTGGATTCTAGCCCATGGCACATGCCCCATGTGCAAATGTGACATTCTGAAAGCTCTGGGGATTCACATGGACATTGAGGATGGAATAGACTCTCTTCAAGTTCTGATGTCAAATGAGCTGCCTGGAACCTTTTCACCCATGGAAGGCGAGACGAGTAACGAAGTTCCTCTCCCGAGAGCTTCAGGCAAGGTGACCCACATCCTGGAGCACCCCACTTCTGCGAACTCTGGTAGCCAGGCTCCTGCAGCAGAGGAAACCAATCACCCTTCGCTCGGACAACGTGACCTTTGAGCAAGTGGATTAAACATGTTTGTCAAACCAGGTCCTCAAGCTGGCCAGCAGTTTGTTTAAAGTGTGATTCTTTGTGTGTGTGTGTGTGTGTGTGTGTGTGTGTGTGTGTCTGAGTGTGTGATTTCCTGTCACTCTGCTAACTTTCAAAATTCACTTGGCATGCTGCAAATACAGAGGAAAGAAAACCTGGCAGGATTTTGAGGCTTCTTACTTCTGCTAATTTTAAGATTCTGTGAATGAATTATTCTCGGGAGTGTGCCTGTGTTTGTTTCTAGTTAGCCTGTGTTAAAAGTGGAATCAAACTCCCCCCTCCACCAAATTGTGTTTGTGTGTTTTTAACCTGGCTTTACTTTAGTTAAAAAAATTAATATATTTTGCATCTTTCTTATAAGAAGCCTCTTTCATCTTTTAACAATAGTGAAAATTAATTATACAATATTATAGTAACTCTGATGTCATTATGTTGCAATGTTTTGTTTTTGTTCTTTGAAATGAAAATTTGTTATACAGAATATTTTTTTAAAATATCCTTGGTCAAGAATACTATTCAAGCAGTTAGTAGGTAATAGTTATCTGCACAGCAAGAAAATCTTTATAAATAAAGTAGTGATAGTCTTCAAGAAAACAGTAAATATTTCAGGGCCCAATATTACTTAGCATGAGTACTATATGATCATATCTGTTGAAAAAGTTATATAGAATTTCTGTGGTGCTTTGTCCTATCACATTTAATTTACAGATGTTCTAATCCACACATCCACACCCCAGTTAGGTTTTTTTTTTTTTTTTTTTTTTTTGTCTTGAAGGAACATATTTAAAACATGCCAGGTTATTTGGAGAAAGTAGCAGTGTAGAATGTTCCGACACATTGTGCTCACGTTGATTGTGCTCCCGTATTCAGTCTTACACAGTGCACTCGGGGATGAGTGCTCAGTGAGGATGAGTAACTAAGCTCAAGAACATGAAAGTGCAGCAACTTTCATAACGTATTATATTTTGCTCAGATGAAATAAGTGATTTATTCCCATTGTAAGAAAAAAAAATAGAAAACAGATTCTGAAAATTTACTTCCAAAATCACATTGAGAAAAAAACACTAAATATTATTTTTAGTCTAGAATTCATTATAATTTTATTTTCTCACAGTAGTTTAGCATAATTTCCATGAGCCTTTGAACTCTCGGGGAAACACTGGATTTTTGAGTTATGGGACAGTGCTAGAGAAACGAATGAGTATGAATTCTGTGAGTTTTTCCATGCAGAAGGTCAGCACTTTGCTGCAGAGTAACCCAAGGGAGACTGTTAAAGGAGGAAGGGCATCCATGCAGGGCCGACATAGCCAAGATACGGCAAAACTCGGGCAGATGCCAGGGTGAGGCCGCATCTTCCTGTTACATACAGGCCTCTGTGTTCCGGGCCCTAGGAAAGTTTGACTGTTAATTGCATATACCGGCAGGCTTACTGAAGGATTTAGCAGGAACTGAATTTTCAGTGTTTTCTTGGGACTGAAGTCATTCCATATAGTACCTAGCGTCATATTAGATAAAGAAGGACTCAGGAGACTGACTCTACAGGAACTCTTCTTGGATGGTTGAATCCTGAACAGACGGGCTGATGTCTGTAGACTCCATGTTGGCCACTGGGATCTAGGACTCTGACTGGCGCCAGTGATTTTCATTTAAGCTGTGGAGATGATGAGGTTGGGGCTGGGGCTGTACCAGAGTACTTGCAGCCACAGGCCTTGGGTTCCATTTCCAACACCACAAACACCACTGCCTAAAAGAAGTGACATCTAGAAATCTTTCTGTCTGGTACTTTGGCATTTTCTGAAGCCAAAGCACTAGGATCGCTGAAGCTCTTCACATATTTCCATGAGGTCACAATATCCATAGTGAACAAGGTACTCATTCATCTTAGTTTCACTTAGCAAAAGATACTTTTGCTAGTATGGAGAGATAACATTAAACAGCATATGGCGTGTGGCTCAAGAATTTTTTTTAAATTTTTTATTAATTACACTTTATTCATTTTGTATCCCCCATAAGCCCCTCCCTCCGCCCCTCCCTCCTCCCCTCCCGATCCCACCCTCCCTCCCCTTTCTGCATGCATGCCACTCCCCAAGTCCACTGATAGGGGAGGTTCTCCTCTTCTTTCTGATCTTAGTCTATCAGTTCTCATCAAAAGTGGCTGCATTGTCCTCTACTGTGGCCTGATAAGGCTGCTCCCCCCTCAGGGGGAAGTGATCAAAGAGCAGGCCAATCAGATTATGTCAGAGGCAGTCCCTCTTCCCATTACTATGTAACCCACTTGGACACTGAACTGCCATGGGCTACACCTGTGCAGGGGTTCCAGGTCATCTCCACGAATAGTCCTTGGTTGGAGTATGAGTCTCTGGGAAGTTCCCTGTGTTCAAATTATCTTGTTCTGTTGCTCTGCTTGTGGAGTTCCCGTCCCCTCCAGCTCTTACTATTTCCCACTTCTTACATAAAATTCCATTCACTCTGCCCATCAGTTGTCCATCAGGCTCAGCATCTGCTTTGACAGTCTATGCTGCAGAAGCTTTCAGAGGCCCTCTGTGGCAGGTTCCGAGGTTGTTTCCTATTTTCTTTTTCTTCTGATGTCCATCCTCTTTGTGGCTCAAGAATTTTGTGTGAATTCTTTTAAAGCTGGCTATGGTTTGTATTGGAGGTAGGAAAGGAGGGTCAGGTCTGTGAACTTGGAAACTGTGGGTACGTGGTCGTCTCTGTACCTGACGGTGAGACTGGAGCCGGGCAGAGCTACTGTCTTCCTCAGCACAGAACAGCAGCTTTGGTCTGACCTTCTAAGCACCTGTTGTAAACAAATCCATAGGGCACTTTTACTCCAGGCTTATTCTATTTTGAATTTAGTGATCAGGACCTGGAGTCAGCGCTGTTCTGTTCACCATTTATTACAATGTTAGATATTTGTTGTAGTCAAATTTTTACCTGCAGTATAGGCAGTGCCATTTTGTCTTGGACCAGTAATGCTCGTATATGTTGCTTGATGATATGGTCCTGGAATTTATAATATTTTGCCACAATGTAAATAGCATAATCAGTTTTCCTTTAGATTTTTCCATCTTATATGTATATCTAAGTCTTTGGAATTCTTCAGTAGTCAGTGTTTGTTTTCCTGCCCCCCCCAACCTCCAGTAATCAGTAGGATGTTGATTTTTTCTTAAATAAAATTGAAATTTTTTTCCCCATCATTAGTGGGACAAATTGTTCAATGTTTTTCTACAAGTAACATTTCTAATATATTTTTCCTGTGATTACATGACTGAATAGTACTCATTAAACATAAACCAAAGTGATAACATCTTTTCATCTTGTTGTAGAAATGTTGTAATGATTCTAAAAATAAATGCAGGTCAACAGCTGTTTGTAAAAGTGTGAGCCCTTTCTTTGTAGGGCTCAGTGACCCAGAGAGCCAGCTGGCCTGGTGGGCACATTATATTCTTAAAGTGGTCATTTTCCAGACATCTGGTTATTGAAACAGCAAACAAGAATCCAGATGAGGAATCTCGGAGTCGGGGGAACCCTGAAAGGCAAAGCAAAGCCTTTCCATGTTGTTTCTGACAATCCATCATTAGAATGGAGATTCCATCCTTCTATTTCATTGTTCAGCAATAAGTACCTCCTGGATTTTTTTTTTTTTTTTTTACGCATGCTGCTTTTGTAATTACTGTGGTTTTCAATGTTAAGGTCTTACTGTTGCGAAATTGTTACATCATCTGCTACCGTAGGACTATGTATGACTATCTGAAAACATACCTGGTTTTCAACAAAGCGAGATTTTATTTGAGGCTTGGGGAGAGGCATGCATTTACATAATGCATATGATCTGCCAACCCAGAATCGTTAGGGTTGTTCCTCCAATGTTCCTGTCCCGGCATCCCGTTTTCACAGGTACACCCACTCCTAACACCTCTCTTCCCAGAGGAGCCTCTCTGACAGGCCAAGAGCGGACTATGTGCACGATCAGCTTAAGTACGCCATTGTTGATCCCGAAGGATACTCTGGTTTTAGAAACTTCTGCACTCTTGTGATTCCATCTCCCTCTCAGCCATTTCTTGCTCTGTGTGATTACTGTGCGCGGTGTGGTTTGTATATGCGTGGTGTGTGCGTGCGGTCTGAGTGTGTTGTGTGTGTGATATCTCAGGGAAGAAGGTTTTCAAGGAGAGGTGGCTGCATATGCATGCGCCTGCATAGATTCATGTCAGGCGCCTTTGTCAGTTGTTTTCCCTCTTACTTTGAGACAAGGTCTCTCACAGAACCCAGAGCTCACTGATTTGGCTAGACTGCTAAGCCATCAAGCCATAAAGATTTTGCTGTCACTGTCTCCCCAGCTGGAATTATAGGGATGCATTATGGTTCAGACTTTTTGTTTGTTTGTTTTTCCTTAACATGGGTTCTGGGGATTAAATGTCAGTCCCTGTGTTTGTATGATCACTAGTATACTGACTGAGCCATCTCTCCAGCTCTCATCAATATTGTTTTGCTACATCCTGAACTCTGTTGTCTTCGAAAACTTGCCAACTTAGAACACCACTCTCAGAATTTCCTCTTGGAATCAGGTTAACCTGCTGTCTCCACCTCTCCAGCAGGCTTGCTGCTGTCATTCTAACAAGGATCTCCCTAGGCCACCCTGACTCTTGTTCTTTCTCCGCATGATACAGAATCAGATTTTAAGGTTGTTTTACCATCCAACTGCCACTGTGAGTTTCCCCTAAGCCCTTTTTCATAGTATCATTTGCTCTTCATCACCCAAAATGGCTGCTTTTAATGCTCCAGCTCCACACCAGCCACCTACGGAGTTGGGAGTTGTTGGGAGTCTTACCTTTTACAAGATGTTTGTTCCTATTGAACGTGAATAACCTTTGAACCCACTTCCCCATTTTTGGTTGAGCAGTACTTCTAAGCCTAGGCTTTATATCCAAAATGGAGAAGAGTTAAAGGCTCAGTGCCCCTGCTGCGCTTG